CATCTAGTGTTTACTGCTGACATTGCTGCAGGTGATGAGGAGAATGAACAATTTGTTTAGTGCAACAGGAAAATGCCACAACAACTGCAGACTTCTTAAAACTCCACCGTCTGTGGGTGTCTGACTGAGCAAGTTTGTACATACTTATGTAGCTGTTGGTAAAGTTACTCTGCAAATCTGCAAAACTTAGGATTTACTCTTATTCATCAGAATTATCATAATTACATTAGAACTTTGAACTTTTGAATTGTTATTGAACAGTTGCTTACACAGCAAAATTAGATAGCACCACAGAGGTGCAAAAATAAAGAAAACAATATACAAAAAAAGAAGAACAATATAAGAACGCTATATATACACAGTTTTTGAGTTACAGGAAGCATTGTGTGGGTGTACAAGGGCATGTGTACATATAATAAATAATAAATAAGGCTGGAAGGGCTATGATCATTGAAGATAGGGATGGAAGTTGCAAATCTGCCAAAATATTGCACATGAAATGGCAGCAACATAATCAATAGCAGTGAGAGAATGATTGTATGGGGAAGGTCTGCTCACACTCTTAATTTGCATTACACTGAAACTGTTGCAAAATGTCAAGTTGCCCAATAAAGACTGGTATATACTCACTCAACTGGCCTACCTTCCTGCTTTAATGGATGTTAAAGTAAACAAAGGTGATACATCAGTTAACATGTTTCTAGAGGGTGTCCATCAGGTCAAACCCACTGGGGCCTAAACAGGGGACTTCTATGGTGTGTGCCACCAGGAGTTATCAGGATCATTTGGGTTCTGTGCATTACGCAGTGGGGCTTCAGTGCATTAAGTGTTTTCCACAGTGGATTTCTGCAGTGCTTGAAGGGTGGGTGAACACCTTCGGTGCTTTGTTGTGTTTCATCAAGCAGTTTTGCAATGTGATATGGGGGAAATCTCTTGCATGGTTGGCTGTGGTCCTTTTGGCAATGCCTTGTGCATAGTCTGCCATGTTCACATAATTGGTAGATGTCACATGAATGCCATAATCTAAGGTTTCCCACAAGAATGTTATGATGTTATTCCAGGGATCTAAATAACTCACTGAACTTTTCTGTGATTTCAGTGTTGTATTCATCTACTATTCATCTTCATAGAAAAGCCATCCTAGCTACTGAACATTGCTGTTATGGGTTGCATCCTTCTCCCATATGCTCTTCCAGGCTGTCTCCAGCCTTGGTGATGCTGTCCTCATGTTGCCACCCTGCCACTGAGAGTACACCTTGGATGGTTCTGTGGAGACCAGCTGGTTTATTCTCCTGCCCTTTGTCTCTCTGGTGTGTCTCTTCAAGTGAGTCTTTACTTGTGCAACTTTCTGCAGCTCCAATAGCTCTGATGCTACCTTTATCTTGGCCTCCATGCACCATATATATATATATACAGTGGGATGCAAAAGTTTGGGCAACCTTGTTAATAATCATGATTTTCCTATATAAATCGTTGGTTGTTACAATAAAAAATGTCAGTTTTGATATGATAAAGGAGACACACACACAGTGATATTTGAGAAGTAAAATTAAGTTTATTGGATTTACAGAAAGTGTCCAATAATTGTTTCAACAAAATCAGGCAGGTGCATAAATTTGGGCACCACAAAAAAAGAAATGAAATCAATATTTAATAGTAGATATATAATGTGTGTGTGTTGTGTGTGTGTGTGTGTGGCTGTGTGTGTGTGTGTGTGTGTGTGTGTGTGTGTGAAAAAGGCAAACAATGAGTAGGCTGCAGAGAGACGCTACCACTTGTGACTGAAGTGGAACCCTGTTGGGCCTCAGTCACCACAGAAACAGAGGAAGAGGAAGTTCTGACAAAAAATATATATCTTCAGTTCAGTCTGACACTCACACAGTCAGCAGCAAGGCAACATGGAGGTCAGATTTCCCGCCATCAGACTCTGTGAGTACTGACCTTGTCTGTTTATAAAAAAAAAGATATTGAGTCAGCAACAGAGAAAATGAACACAAGGGAAATTAATATATCCAAAATGCACCCATATATTTCAATGTATTCATTTTGCACATTTGTAACTGCTCACTAATAAATGCATAGGACTTATTACTACTGATGGAAAAAAAATGAAAACATGTTAAACATTAAAACTGTCATTCTCAATCTTTTCAGTGAGGAATGTTCTGACTCTGTTGGTTATAGTAGTCGAATGCAGTGATTCTCAAACATACTGTAAGTTTTTTTAAAAAAAGATTTTGTGTGGATTTTTAGGTGTGTGGTTGCATGTTTGTATAATAGTGTGTGTAATAGATTTAATATATCTGTTAACAATCTGAAATTATTGTAAATTACTGAAGTTATTATTTTCTAGATAAAAATAGAGATACTACATAAACCTCTGAAACAGTTGCATATCTATATTTACCATAACAGTATATATATATATATACATAAATGTTTATCATTTGAAAGCTTACATGCTTAATGTGTATACTTTTGTCTTTGTCTGAAAAGTAAAAAAAAACAACAACAACAACAATAAGAAGGCGCACATGTGCAATAACCTTAAGTTTAAGACTATTTTGTCTTTATTGGATTTTGTGTCTCAGATTCAGGTTTTCCTAAAGTTGTTCCGAACAGACAGCAGTTCTTTCAAACAGAACCTATCACTATCAGCTGTGAAGGGCTAAATGGGCTGATTGGATGGAGAGTGATGAAAAAGACAAAAGCAGATGTTAGAAGATGTGCTTCATTCTGGAAAACACCCACTGGACCTTGCAATATTATTAATGCATATCCATCAACAGACAGTGGAGAATACTGGTGTGAACATGGAGAAATACAAAAAAGCAACTCTGTCAACATCACTGTAACTGGTATGCACATAAAAAAAGCATATTTAGTCCATTTGTATTCTAGGTTTTCATTGGCAGTAAGCGATAATTTTTCTTCAGAAAATGCATCGTAACCTTAATAAAATAACACACACACACACACACACACACACACACACACACACACATATATATACATATATATATATATATGTATATATGTATAATTTAAACAGAAAACACTTTTACAGACAAAATAACTGTCGTATCTTCTGCCATTTAAATTTAGAGAGTCATGTAATTCTGGAAAGTCCTGTCTATCCTGTGATCGAGGGAGAAAATATGGCCTTGCATTGTAGAAAAAAGGATTCAACCTCCAACTACACTGCAAAATTCTATAAAAATAGCATCTCTATTGGGAGCAGCTCATCAGGAAACATAATGATTCCGACTGTATCCAAATCTGATGGAGGACTCTACAAATGTAGTATTGTCGATACTGGAGACTCACCACAAAGCTGGCTTAACATCAAAGGTGCGCTATACCTGTGATACTTTTGTTTTAATTTTGTTTTAGCCGAAACTAATTATCAGACACCTGATAATACCTACAACTGTAGCATTTTGAGACTCAAGGCTTTCTAAAGTCAGATTTTGTAAAGAAAAACATATTTTTTTTAATGTGATATTGACTGTTGTTTTTTCCTAGCTGGTTTTAATTGTTAATGTGGTTTACGTAACATTTAGAATATTGTAAATGAAAATATATTTGATTGAACTGGTGAATAAGAATCACATTTCATTTCAAGGACACGGACTTTCTAAACCCACCGGACTTATTGTGCTGCGCTCCCTTGGTCTCATGTGTTTGTTGGTGACTTGTCTTCTGTCGGTGGGACTGCTACGATATTGGAAACATAAACTGTCATTAGAGGTACTCAAACAGAAAAATAAAGTTTTATAAATTTTACATTTACATATTAACTGTTCAGTTATAACAGACATCCATCGTTAATAACCTTGACACAGCGCTAGTACATCCACAACTAACTTTTTTTGACAAAATTTCTGTTTTACTGCTTAATTAGTTACTTTAGGGAAAACTTTATTGATATCTACCTCATATTTTTCAATGTTCATAACCAACCAACAACAATGATTTAACACGTTTTTCATTGTCTCCACACACAACATATGCAATTCAACTTTTTACAATTATTATAGATGTTGTAAGGCTGTACACTTTTCTTACAAAGGCATGAACATTTTCACACTTTTCCCTCTTGTTTAAACACTCTCAAAGTTCAAAACTTTGTAGAAAAATAAGTCCAGTATTATAGAATGAAACCAAAGATCAAACCCTGTTTTCAGGTCCAGAACATGGGAATAGAGCAGCTGCCAGAGAATTCAACATCAATGAATCAATGGTACAGAAGTAGAGGAAGCAAGAAGAATGAGTTGAGTACAGTTTTACTTATCTGACTGTTTTGTTTCGTTTAATGCACCTTATAATTCGGTGTGCCTTCTGGTCCGAAAAATACTGTGGCTTTGACCTTCCTTTGGTCTTTCCAGAAGTCCAAATTTTTGTGCAATGGTCAGCATCTTCCTCTGACATTTGGGTGCAAAAGGTTTCATCGACATAGTTTTTGTTGGAAATTGGTCAGCTCTCTTTTCACTACAAAGCTGCAGTCACAGCACCAATTTGTCTCAGTCTACCAATCTCCCGCTCTCCTCTTCCCTCACTCATGAACCAAAAATACTTAAACTCATTGGATGTCTGATTATAATTCCCGCTGCTTCACACTTGGCTGCTAACTACTCCAGCACAAACTGGAGACGACCACATGATGAAGCCAACAGAACCACATTACAGTGGTCCCTCATTTATCGCGGGAGTTTTAAAAATAACCCGCGATAGGTGAAATCCGCGTGGCCAAGTAGCAAGCTTTATTTTT